CTTTTTTCTCAGTGGGAGAATGCTTTTAAGATCGAAGACAGTGGGAGGAGTGGAGGAAGGTATGTATCCACACAGCGGATTGACTTTGGGGTTGAGACCGAGACCTATGTTTAGCCTTAGTAGATGGGAGAAATAAGTCACTGCTGGATTTCACAGGTCAATTGGTACATTGGAATCTTGACTGTGTTCACAGTTATCTCTCTACATATTTTTCCTTCTATTTTACCTTTAAAGTTTTTTTTCTTTCCAATACAGCAGCCCTTGTTCACTGTGTTTTTTTTCCCTCCTTAATACACATGCATGTGTATATATAAATATATGTATCTGTATGTATACACACACACACTCATACACGCACATACAAGCAAAGCGGTCCTGCAGAATTGTATTTCTATGGCTGAGGCCAGTGACTCTTCCTCAGAATCCATCTCCTTGAGACAGGCTGGCAGCTCTCCAGTAGCTCAATCCTCAGTGTGAGTCCCTGAGATGGAGGACGGGGCACATGTTTGCAGGCAGATTGCACATTTGAAGGAATAAATTGCCTCGTAGAGGACCAGACTCCACATTGTCTGTTCCACTCTGTGTTCCTTTGCCTTTAAATATGTTTGTTGAAGACCTGTCATCTGCAGTTTTCTGTTATTTCCTTTCAAGGCCCGCTCATTTTCTGGTGTCTGGTGGCGAAGCTCAGCCGGATGGTCTGTGTCCGGAAGTGAACATGTGGTAGTGTTTAGCTTTGTAATGCCCTGGGTTTTACGGACGTCTTGAGGGAGATATCGCATGGAAGGCAACCAGGATAGTGAATGTGGGCCAGCAAACAGACTGCATGTCCAAGTGTTGGAGAACTCTTGTTATCACAGAGCTTCCCATGGGTATACCTCAGTCCAAGGCCCACAGAGAAGGCTTAACACGAATGCCAAGTCATCCTTAATAAGCCAAATCTGCTTTTTCGCTCAAACATTCATGTATTTTTCCATTGAAACCTCTATCAGTTTGGTGACTCCTTTTGGCATGGAGCGAGCTTTAACTCCCCCTCAGTTAATGTAATGTGTAACAATTACAGCCACCAGAGGCCTCTCTTCATGTGGTTATGTTGGCTTCAGTAAACGTTTCATGTGTTTTGTTTAAACATGGTTTTGAAACGCCTCCTCCTTTGACATGCTTCTCAAAGTTCTCCACCAGTGTAAGTTAATATGTTACAACAAATCAATGTGAGATACTAACTATTTTTAATTCGTTGGTACAGTTCTCTTCTCAAACTTGCATAGCGCATATCATGTCAAAATCGTCTGACCCTATTATTTCCCTTTGAGGGCCATCTGGCCCAAGCATCAGCTGTGAAAGTTGAGCTCTACATAATACAGTGGGGATTGTTCATATTTCAGCAGATTTTTATTTATTTTTTTCTCTCCAGCCTTTCATGGACTGAGTTGATCTGGATTAAAAACACATTTTTTCCCCAGCCTCTCCCCTAATTCCAACCAACAACAATTAATAAATGACTGTGTTGCATGCATTACCTTGTAATTAAGATCTTGATCACTGTGTTTTCATCTGACAGCTTGATACAGACAGAATGTATGTATGTGATAGTACTCCATTGTACAGAATAGCTTCAAAGAAACCAGTGAGCTGCCAAAAAACCCTCCCACATTGTTCCCATCACAAATGGCTATTTACCACATGATTTCTTGAGAGATTCCATTAACAAATATAACTCTGTGCATGAGGGATGGTATTGTTGTCAGAGTATTACATTTTAGCCACTGGGCAACTAGTAAAACACGTTTAAATATTGGCAAGGACTTTGATCAGCTGTTATGGACCTAGGCTGTTGGACAGGTTAAGCTTTCTTGGCAGAAAAACAATTAGATGAACATACATACCCAAAGTTGCATTGTGGTCAAAAGACAAACAAAAAACTTTTGTAAAAAAAACAATGTAACTCGACCTAAGTTTCAAGTTGGGTGGAGGGTGGGAGTTTTAGTAACTACCAGAAAACTTCCTGTGTTTTGGATTCATTTATAAAACTAGCTTTATTGTTGTGGCCAGCCATCTGGTTGTATGCCACCTATAGTCATCCTCTCCACACACTTGGGACTCCGACAAGTGTGGCAGCTTGAATGTGTGCAAGCCCTCCAGGGCCCATCAGTCCACATGCAGTGCTCAGAGGAAACATGTGACATGTGGCATAATTGAGTCAGCCAGCAAGTACTTTTGCAGAAATCAGCCTACTGATGCCACTACTCAATGCCCAGCGGGGGAGCTTGGAGCTGTATAGGATGGTATCAGAAGGAATCGGGCCTGTTTCTAGTTATTAGCAACAGTGCTTTTCTGTTTAATTTGATATAGCATGGGGCCCTGGGGGCAAGGGCGAAGACAGCTAAGGCATTGACCAAAAGGCTGAGAGCACCCTGCTGAGAGTGTAAGGTACCTAGGTGAGAGAAAATAGATAATGGGGGTGTAAGAGAACAATTTGGTACCAAAAGCAGCCAAATTCCCCCCTCTCAGTTTAATTTGCTCTCTGTCTCTGGGCTATTCTCGGAGGGAGATCATTTCTTCCTCATGTTTTTTTATTTTTGCTGGCTCTCTTAGTTTCTTTGTGCCAGGCTCTCGCCACATAAGAAATTCAGCAGGACTGCTTGGGCCTCACTGTTTAATGACTCCGAGTGTGTGAGTCAGGATATTGTGTATGTAATATTGTTGTCATTGGATTTATTTATGAGGTGATTAACATTTATTTTGTCTGTCTGTCTTATTTGGTGGGTTTGGAAGAATTCTGATAGAAAATCGCTGACAGCCCATAAAAGAATAATGTATTTGCCTGTCTTGTAAAATCAAAGGCATCACAAAGCCTAACCCCGGAAATCAGGTTTCCTTTTTTTTTTCTTTTTCATTTGACAGCAGATAAACACATTGACATTCCAACAGTCAGCGAATAAAGACCTGTTTGCAGCCAGTCTTTCACTAGTTTCACTCCTCTTCACTCACATTGACCAAGTAAACCTGTGCTATTTGTTTTATTCAACGAGCTTTGACTGTACATGGAAATTTACTTTATTTGATCTTTTTAAAGCTATAACATGTGTATTACACATCTCTACCTTCAATAGATCAGTCGTCTCAACATTCAGTTTCCTGTAGTGAGTCCATACTGAGTCACAATGCTTGATAGTGTTCATGAGGTGCTTTTCCCGACAAGAATGAAGCAAACCAATGGTGACACAACCAAAGAATGTGGGATGTGTCCGTTGTGATTCAACCATGGTCACATCTACTAGTTCAGGTGTTTTGCTTTTTTAAAACACCTTCACTTAATAATGAATTGGCAAGCAACTCCTGCCTCCAAACATTTACGAGTTCTCAAGTCCTGCGTCTCACCACATTGTTTCTGTTAGTAGAAAAATGTTCAGGCCAAAAGCTGTTTTGCATGTAGGACCTCTGGTATCAGAACAAAGTTGATACAGCCTGACGCGTATTACATTCCAAGTGGGCTTAAAGTTAGTCTGCTGAGTTCTGTAAGCTCCTGAAGGAACGTCCTAATATTTTGAAAGAAAATCAAACCATAATACTCGTGTAGCATTAGTAGATACTTACACCATTTCACCAGTATTTAATATAATAAACAACTGCATCCCTGATGTCATGTGTTGACAGCAAGCACAAGAGTTGCCTTCAGCATTGCTTCTTCTGGCTGCCCAAGAGATGTTGCCTCTTTGATTCTTTCTTCAAATATGCAAGCCAGCACTAAGGGAGCAGATTGTTTGTTCTAGATTTCCTGGGAGACTCCCACCTTGGGCTTAAACAGAGCAGTTGTGATGATTAGCAACAAAGTGTGCTGCCTCTCATAAACCATCAGAGGGAGAGGGAAGGGTCTGAGGAATCTTGTTTCTCACATTACTGCGTCTTTATTGTGAAAAACTCAGCTCACTCTTCAGTGCTGCAATTCCATGTTGAAAATGTTGACCCTTCGGTCTTTACATGGATATGTGTGTTTTTAACTTGACGTTATTACAGTATAAATAAAGAGAAATACATGCTGACATGCACTCTTTCCTTAGTGTGCAGACTCAATAATGTCTCAATTATGGAAACATAGGATCTCTTCATTGTTGGACCAATTTGTCTATTGTGTTCAGTCCCAGACTTAATGTCATTTTGTGGGATTTGTGGGGGTTAATGCAATTATCTCCTTGGCTCTAGGAAGTTGACAGGCAGGGCCTAAGGGAAGGAGCTGTGCTTATCAACCATCTACCCGTTGTCACAGTGACAGAAGTGTTGGCACACACAAACGAATGAAGATAGTGAAGTTGTTCCTAAGCCTTTCCTCTGATATTATAGATGATGATATTGCACATTATGTTGTTCCACTTTTATGCGACTCGCATCAGTCACAAGCACCTATCAACAGCTTCATGTTGTATCACAACTGTGGTGTTATATCTAATCATATCACATTTTTACCTATTGAAGGTTTATCTATTTGATATTACACATTGTTTACAACATCGGATGGCTGTCTCTTTTTGTAGTGATGCATTATTTTATGCCCACATATTATACTTAATGTAGGGTACATCACAACGTTTACATTGACTACCAAATACTTCAGCAGTAGTAGCTGGCTTGTTTGTGTCTTTTATTAAGAGAAAACTGATAAAGAATCAAATGCTAAACTTTCCTGGTATTGAAACTATGGTTTTTAATTGGTTTATACCATCTGTTGGCATCTTGGCCTGTCAGTTTACTTTTTAATATGCATAAATAGATTTGCATTCTAATGTATGTAAATTAATTATTGTGCTTTGTTGTGGGAAATGTTGGGGAAAAAAAAAAAAAATGATTTTGGAGTGTCATTTAATTCTCGCTTTTATGCAGTCCTGAAAGCAGTCAGTGTCAACATTTTGATTAAATAGTATGCGCTACACTGTTGTTACGTTGCATATAATTTCCAAAATGTCTTAAGTAATTCTGAAAACGTCGTTGTTGTTTTTTTTCCGCAGTGAAAAAAGACATGAAGGATGAGACTGACGACAGAATGCCACAATTCAAGAAGAAGGCGAAAGAGCTCCGTATCTTGGATGCCAAGACGGCACAGAATCTTTGTAAGTAGATGCATTTAAAGGCATTTCATAGCCAGTAACCACATGTTTATCACAATTAGTTGATGAAGTATTATATTATTTCTAACCTTCACTTTTTTATGTCAGAAATATTGATTCTATTTTCAACAACACAGTCAATTTCATACTGCCGTCAAGCTGATTGTGAACGGGAGAAATCCTTCAATGTGGACACAGTTTTACTGAGTTTGATCATTTTTAGCTGTAGCATAGTGCTCTCCACAAGCATTTTGTGCCCAAGCCTTGCCTGTAATTACATGTAAAGAAACTTCCTATCAGAGCTGCAGCTACTAAAGCTACAAGTGGGTGTTTTAAATCTCTTGGAGCCTACAGTAAGTGGACTAAACGGTAAGTTAATATTGGTGTATTTACCTCCCCCACCAAGCCTCCTTTTTTTTTTTTTTTGGTGTAGTTTGGTTGGTTGTCATTTCAGGTTACATAAGAATCCTCCTGCTCAAAATGTGCGTATGTGTGGGTGTGTGTGAATTGATCATAAAAAGAAATCGGTGACTGCTGGATGTCTCGTGGTGATTGATGGGTAGAGCACATCTTGTTGTTTACCCAACTCTTTGGGATTTGATATCTCTTACCTCAGAGAAACAGTGTAGATAATAACACCTCATGAAATATACATGTCAGATGCTAAGATTACAGGTCACCCTTCTTACTCCACCTGTTTGTTTATACTTGTCTTTCTCAACGTTCCTCTGCATGCAGAGGCATACTGTAGACTGCGGGGAGCATGGGTGGATGAATTCCTGTACACAGGGTGAGAACTGGGAGCAAATGGTGGCATATTTCAGAACACGGGCCAGATGAATGAGTTTGCAGGGTGAAATATTGGGGTCTGATGCCGGGAAGGGGCATGTGGCATGAACATAAGGATGACACATCGAAGCGTGTGGGTTTGTGTTTCTGTGTCTGCGTGCGTGTGAGTGCGCATCTGTGCATTTGCAAATGTGCCATTGCACATGTCATCGCACGCATGTATGGGTTGTGGCAGTGTTGATAGGTGTCACTGGCATCTTTGATTACAGAATCTGCAGATGGACTTTGAATTTGTCGCGAAGCAAAAAAATAAGCGTAGAAAACATCACCTCCGGAATAGCAATGGGTGGGAGGAAAGTGGTCGTACAAAGCTACACAGCCCTCCTGAGTCGCCTTGACACATACCACGGCGTCATAGATCATATTCACTGCCTGTCGCTGAACCCTCTAAGCTCCGTTCTCAGTTTTGATGTGTGGTAGTATTGAAGGTTCAGTGACTGGGATGGAAAGTGAGATAACGTGAGTGATTGTGATGTCAGTGCCACATTATGTATTCTGGTATAAAGATTATGCGTACCACTGTCTGATAGATTGTGTCTAATCAGCCTGGTTGTACAAACCTTCGACCAGCACTTTCAGGCGGCTGCAGGTGGGCGGATGACTTGCGGCTAAGGTCAGAATAAAGCAAATTATATCTGCTGACTCTCGAGAGCAAGATATTTAGTGATTAAAGACAATCAATTGTAGCTATGATCCCTCTTTGGGGATAACCAACCGCATGACCCCTTGTCACTTGGCTGTCCAAGTAAACGATGCTTCCAAAGACCAGATATGTATCACTATAGAAGAGACAAGAGCCTTGTACTTAATTACACCTCATTTTACGTTGTACTGATAAAATCAAGTGGCATACCTATTGTATTGAAGTCTAAAACAATTATAATCAAGAAAAAATGCTTCTAGAATCTTACATGGTCTCAAACATCACATAGTTTAGTAAATGAGGATTCATTTTTTGAGCACTTTAACACACCGTAGGCTACGATTTCTTAACAGAATCTAACTTCATGAGGGATTTTGCCAGAAGCACGTACCTCAAAAGCTAACTTCCCAGAAGCCATGATAATTTTAAATCTTCCAGAGTATTAGCCAATATAAACTAAGCAGACATTTTCTTGCCCAAATAGTATGTGTGCTCTGTTTTGGAGTTACGTTTGAATCTGATACTGAGACACTTTGCTAAAAGCTAGCTAATCATTAGAACAGTGACTTTCCAAGGACGCCTTCAACAACCTATTTAAACTGTAATTAAATGTAGCATAATTTTATAGTATAATTTTATTGATTTCTCCAATAAATTTATTAGACATATTACTCATCCTTAGCTTCACAAACATTAATAAGCTGCAGTTGTGGAGACACTGCTGTTTCTTTCTGCTGTGTGCAGAATGGTCTCTGTTTATACAGGGGGGGTATCTTTCACACAGCAGTCACCAAATAAAGGAACAGCCAAAGAAATGAAACACAATACAGTTTTTGTGTTGGGCTAACAGGTAGCAAAAGTACGCATGGGAGTCAGAAGTTAGCTGATGGTTATGAAGTCTATTTTTGACCTTGTTTGGGTAAACACCTCCACTGTGCACTGTCCTTTTATCCACAAACTAAAGCCACAAAGAAAGCTCAGAGCACCTGAACAACATCTGAGAACTGATCCTTGTGGGTGGATATGCAGGTGCATTTTTTTTAGGAGCGTGTCCTCCACATTGCATTGTACTGCGGAATATGCATGGACAAATCTCCACCTACAACACGTTTGCCCATTTTGGCACAGTGAGGTAACCAAACAGGTGCAAGCTAATGGCACTCTGCACTGACACAGAGCAGACGGTGAGGTAGAAATTGCTAGGCAGCTCCAAAAGTTTGAGTTTTCCACCTGTCACTCTTCACCTGCATTCTCATCTTCATCTACTTCATTTTGTAATATACACTATACCCCAGTATTACTTTTGACAGCCCTCCCTTAAGACAAGCCTGCATATGGCTTTTTAAAGAGACACTAAGAAATATATATATATATATAGCATTTAGACAGTAAATAAGGCATGTTTCATTTAATTTGAATGCACCTCAAGTTTTGAAATGTCACACTGTAAGGCCAGATAAGTTAAATTTACTTAATACATTTAAAAAAAAAAACAATTGCCTTTAAAAAAAGTCTGTAATATGTAATAATTTAGTATTACACTTGAAGGAATGGAATTGTTGTTTGAAGTTCAATACATGGGATGGCAAGTTTATGTAACTTAAAATCTTTAGTAATATCGGTTGCTTTGTAAAATTATTTAACTTTTACTATCTGTAATTTCAGTGCACGAAATCTGAAGTTGATTTATCCTAAAATAATGTTTATGTCTGTCAAGGTGCCTAGTTTTTCTACTTACTAGCTTAAATCAAAGTGGATAAAAATGTCATCCCAATATTTTTTTAACTTGTTAAACTAGACAATCATATTAAGATGCACCAACCCCTACTTATGCTGCAGAATAACTACTACTTTCATTAAGACCATTGTAGAATTAAAGTCAGATATAGAAAAACATCTCAGGCAAATTAGAGCGCAATTCTCTTAAACCCATATCCACATGCACATTGTCTTATAGCACGCTGGGAAACTCTGCTCCCCTGCACCCCAACACACAACACATCTCCCTCCTAGGTGGTTAGCTCTCCCTAGTGACCCACGTGTCCATGGCAAAGTCCCTGAGGTGTTGGGAAGCCTGCGCCGTCGTCGAGCTGGCTTTAAAGGTTCCTTGGTGGCTTGTGGAGGCGGGGTGGTATTATGACGGTGGTCCTCAGGCTATGACTCCCTCCTCAGGTGGAGCAGACTCGTGGTTACTGTAGCATTTGGTGCCATGAGACATATCAAAGAAACAGAAACAAGATTTCTCAGAAATGAAATATTTACAAGCGTCAGCCATACAACGTGGAAGCCTGTCACACTGTATGTCATATAATGAAAACATATCTTGTAATAATGACTTTGTATGAAATAGTGTTTTATAATTATGACATACTTTAATAATATAAGGAGAAGGGTTCTCATAGTTATTGCTATAGCATTGTGCTATTTTGAGGATTTAAGTCACAATTATGAGAACTGTTTTAATCAGTATGAATTTTTAAATCACTGTTATGACATAAATCACATTGAAAAGACAGTATCTCATCATTATGGGATGCAAAATCCTAATTATCAAATACAAAGTTGTAATTATAGGACGCTTTGAAATGATTGTGACATGATGACTTATTACATATGTGACTTGAGTTTCTCCTAATCAGTCTGTCACAAAGGAGCTCAGATAAAACAACAAGGTGTGTTAACGGCTAACAGTTCAAATTGTAAGCTATTTAGCTTAGTTGTTCATGCATTCAAATGTATCTACATGTTAATAGAATGTGATAAGGATGCTACCAAACCTAAATGCTCATGAAAGTGCACTGTAACTATTTGTTTAAATACATAAATATGAAATCCAAGCTAAGACTATAAGTGTGTTTAATGCTAAACCTTACATATTATACCTCACATCAAAGCAATGCTAATAATATGTTATGTTCTGGCTATGTAAGAAGTAAGTGCAGTAACTACTCTGTGTAATAAGTAGAAGTAGTCTGTGAAGAAAGAAAGAAAAAAAAAAAAAGAGGACACACTACCTCTCTGTTTGCTGCATGTCAAATACAGACATCAGGTCCCACTGCTTCGGTAGTATAGCAGCTGTTGAGTGACTCTCCTCCAACTCATTATCAAACCTCCACCTGTGACTTCCACCTGGATACACCATCAGCTCCAATTTCCACTGCAGCCACCCCACCTGGAGAGAGAAACACCCACTAGGCTTCCCCCTTGAGGCAAATTCAGTGTATTCCTTTGTGTCCACCCAAACAAAATCATGTACCCTTTCCAGATGACGCCTTGGTTGCTACACCTGATAACATAATAACACTGTTTTCATTTTTTTTATTTTTTTTATTTTTTTTTGTATTGTTGTTGTGATTCTGTACAGTTCACCTTTTATGAACAATTGTATTACTTGACACCTTTCATTGTTACTGGTAAAGTCTTGATATTTTACCTTCCATTTTTTTTTCTTTTTTTTCTTTTTTTTTTTCCGGGGTGACACAAACTATCCTGTAGAGGGGGAGAAACTGTATTAGTTTTTCCAAGTGGCAAGTTAGGTCTGTGGTCATTTTGTCTGAGGAGCGATGAGTGCTGAAATGTCTCTTTGAACCCTGCAGTGTAATAAAAAAAGGAGAGGAAATGACTCTCTTCTCTCTACATCACAACAGCAATTTTCTTGGGCTCGTTCCGCCTGCCTTATGAAGAGATCCGGGACATTGTGCTGGAGGTAGACGAGGAAAGACTGAGCGAATCACTCATCCAGGTAAGACTGATCTTCAGTTTGATGTGTTAGTTTTTACCCTCACAACACACACACACATACACACACACACACACACACACACACAGGTACACTTATTGAGGAATGTGTGAACTTGACTCTTTGTGGAGAGTATGTGAGGGGAACTGGAAGAGATAATTTCCCTATGTGCTCACTTGAAAACAGCATTTTTAAATTCCACTGTCTGGTGGCTAGCTCAGCGACCCCATTTAAAACCTGGTATGGTCTGTTTTTTGGCACCAGTCACTCTTCCCATTCTCATGTGGACCACAGAGACCCTCATTCATCCTCTTACAATGGATGATGAAGGACAACACTTGGCAAAGTCTCCTCAACTCCACCCTCCTTTCCTCTCGTCTTTGTCTTAAACCATGATTGATGAGCTTCCTAAATGCTAGTTGTTTTTGCTCCTATTTTATTTCATTTTTTTCCCCCCCTCTTGTGTCTGAAAGCATTAATTGGGAACAGGTCGGGTGCATGTGGGGTGAAGATGCATCGCTAGACGGAATTAGGCTCTATCTTTCTTGTGCTCTCCTTGTGACCACAGCAGTCATGTTGTCTTTTGCTCCTGCTTTATTTCAGCAGTAGGAGGTATAGACCTCAGGGGTGAGTAGCAAATAGAAGATTTGATTTCAATATAATCTTGGTAGTGATACACCCTGTTGTGTGCATGAGTGTGTGCAACGGTGTTATTTGCTCTTTTTGTTTTTCCAGACCAGCAGTGGGCATTGTTCAAGTGCTGATTTAAAGTCCAGAGGTCCTGGGAGAGAAAAAATAAAATAAAAAAATGTACTGATATATACGTCCTTTCCCACATGGCTTATCAACAATCCAGCAGCTTCCTCCCCACTGCTTTAAACACAGACACTGGTATCAGGTGGAAAGGCAATATATATTTAGATGGGGGGCTATCCAGGGAGCTGTCCTGCACGGCTATATTTTGAGCTCTGATAACCTTTAATTGGCTGGTAATCTGGAAGAAAGCTCAGAGTGTACATTATGAGATGGCACACTCCCCCTCCTGCTTTCTGACGGAGAAAGGAAGTTAAGGTGTTGACCTTTTCCCACCTCCAGCCTTTCTGTTGCAAAGTAGTTCATATCTGCCAGCAGGACAGCTGTGTCCCCAGCCAATCCCCACCAGGACCTCATTGCACACAGCACCGGACAAATGGTTCGACTGGTACACAGCAGTCAGTTTGGGTTACAGAGAGAAGAAGCAGTCCATCAAACAGCTGCCATTAAAGTGACCCTGGCCGGTAACGGCACAAGTGAAGCTGGCCAGTAGCCTGCTGCATTAGAGATCGCTTTAATATTTAAAACTCTTTGTCCAAATTTTTAAAGCTGTTGGGTATTCTCAAAGTCACTGACATGGCACTGGACCGATACCGAGGAAGACAGTGATTAAGAAATAATGACCAAATGTTTACAAAAGCACACAGACAAGAAAAAAGCTACAGCATCTATTCTCAGATTTCCTCAGTGATGCAGGTATTCAGATGCTGACAGCTGTTGTTACCTTTGTTCCTTTTCTTCGCAGTTTTTAACAAATGCATGTGAATCAGCGGTGTTATTGATATGACAGGTGGCCAGGGTTAGTCACAGAGAAAAAGAAACGTTTCAGTTTCCACAGGCAAGCAGCTAGCCATCCTCGTTGAGAGACTTTCCACTGTCACGTTTACGTCCTCCATCTCCCTCTTTAATAAATGTGAAGCAGGACAGTGAGGCTGCTAACAAAGAGGCAGGCTCAACGAGGCTCATGAGAGCAAGTGTGTGAGTCAGCATAAGCATCTGGGAGCCAAGCTAATGTCACAAAGTCCAGGGGGAGGCGAGAGGACCGACTGAGTTAACTTATCGGTGCAGAAGGAGCACACATTTGGCAAGTGTGCTGTTGCTGGTTAGATAATGCTTCTAAAGACAGACTAAGCCTGTCCTGCACTATGAGGACAGCGCTCAAACCAAAATGCTTATTTACTTCCCAACATACTATGTCTGTCTTGTTCTGTGTATATTTTTTGCACCAGCCTGAATTACTCCCCTATTAACCTGCAGGGTTTCTTTTTTCATTTAGATTTAATCTTTTTTCTTTGCAGTTACATTGGTGCTTGTTTGTGTAGCCTAATGAAATTCGAATGTCACAATTATCTGTAGTTCTGCGTATAAGTTTAGTTATTCAACTGCAAGTTATGCTAATTATTCATAATGCAAAGTTATTTGTGTTAAGTAGCTTCAGAATAAAATTAAATCAGTAGAAATGTAGGCCTCTGAGAAATGTTTAAGTGGTTATGTAAGAGGCGTTTTTTCTTCTTTAAAAAGGCTGCATGGCGACCCATTATAAAATACAGATTATGCCATATTTAAGGTTGATCATAGTACATTTTGTCTCATATTTTTGATTTACATACTAGCATGTTTAAGTAGAATTTGAGAGGGAGACATGGAAGCATGCATGTTTTATTTAAAAGCAAAATGCATGAATCTTCAACAAAAACTGTGAATTTGATCATTTAAAGTTGCTTGAATTCTATTAAATATCAGTGTGAACTCACAGATATAAATATGCACTGTATCCCACCAGTGTGTCATATGCCCAGTGGTGTTTTAAAATGTATTCATATGCACCGTTTGAAGGTTGATGGAGGTGGACTTGGAAAGTTGCATTAGATGGAAAGCATAATTTGCTCCACACAGTGTTTTAAAATATCATTTAATATGAGAGGGACACATAACTATCATGGGTATTTTTATTTTTATTTTTTTTACATGGAAATGTTGCTAATTGTATACTTTGATAACTGGTGAAACAGGAATGTCACGCTTATAAAGCAGGATCACGCAGCTCACAAATTAAACAAGGACGCGAGCCCAAGAAATACACTTATAGCTATATTTAACGCTATACAGCGGCACCGAAGGAGAGCAAAGAGACTTCCTGCTGGGTGACACAGTCCTGAGTGTGGGCTCCATCTGCACAGTGCTCATCTACACTCATTATGCTGATTAATCACTCCACACCACCCACTTTCAGCCACACGCCAATCACCATTTATCCACATGGACAGATGCACACACGTACCGAGAAGGAAGATGTGTATGCATAGCGTGGCAATAATAAAAGGCAATGCATTTACCGTCTTGCTAATGCTAGATAGAGTGGGTGATTCTGTACTTTTACAATAATAAAGGTAAATAATGGAGTTGAACTGATGGAAAAAATATAATAAATAAAGATGCCTATTTGAATAAAGGGTTTACTGTACATGCAGCACTGTGTATAATGTTTTAAGAAATAAAAATAAAGTGCAGATAGGTTCAAAGTAAATTCATGTTTTTTTTAGATTATTATTATTTATGGATTTGCTTCATATAAAGTGCAAAAGAAACTAACGTATATGAAATCAGAGAAATCAGCTCCCCTTGGTAAATTTGAACAGGTTATTTTATGCATCTTTGAAAACTTGCCACAGTTATATCGTGGATTTAACCTGCCTCAGTCGCTTTAATTTCTTCTTTGTTCTTCCTCTTGTTGAAGATATTTTATTGTTTGTTCATATATTATTCCTGATGTATATTTTGGGATCATTGTCTGAATGCAGAATGAATTTGAGGCTGACCAGATGTCCTCTTGATGGTCCTGCATCATGAACACAAATCTATGAAGTGCCTACAACTTTTGGATTGTGCAGTATACACAAAATGGGTATTAGATTTGATCAGCCATTATTTCACTATTGTTAGATTGTGCATTTGTAACTGTTAGTCATTCAATAGGTTCTGATGAAAAGGTTTTGTTGACACGGATATTTCAGTAGCTTATTGTCATCAATTGTATGTTTTTCTCAAGTTTTCATTACAAAGGTGATCCTGTCAGTTTGATGTCCAAGACATTCTCTTACTGAGTGATGTTTGTTTAATATAATGTTTTGTGAATCATTAGCAGTAATCTTTAAAAACTGAAAACTTTACCATACAGCTTTACAATGTACTGCGGTGTTGGAGACCTCTCATTAACAATGGCTCCGTTTCAACTGTTTTTTGTGCACTTGTTGAAGGAGGAAAAACCAAACAAACAAACCAGTACAAAACTGTGTCCAAAATCCAGGATGTGACACTCAAGCACAAACTGATAAATGAAAGATATTGTGAAAAAGGAAGGAATCAAGGAAGCAAGAGGTGTTCGTAATGCATCTAAAACTCTGTAACTCAATCTTATTATCTTCCTTCTCCGTCGACATGTCTAATGTAATGATTTGTCAGCAGAATGTGGCAGTGCGCTGGCCTTGAAGTACCCCTACAATGTGTCACCCTGGCAGAGTGGATAGATAGGAGTTGATTGGCTCTCCTTATTCTGCATTAGGGCCCATCAACGCCTCAGAGATGATGTACACATCCCTGAATGCTGGCAGACAGTCCTGGCTCTCACCATTCATCCATGCTCCATATGAATCCTTGCAATTCCACACTTATTTTCATCCCCATGCAGCCGGCATACAAACATACGTACATAACATGCAAATGGATAGACAGTGTCAGTTATCTCCTCTGTCTTTACATCCCTGCGCAACCGTGTCATTTATCATGCAGGCAATAAATGTGTGTCCGCTCCTCTCACATGTACAAACACACACACACACACACACACACACACACACACATGCTTGCAAGTAATCTATCCCCCTCTTGCTCACTCTTTGATTCTCATTTGCATACAATATTCATAGTGCTGGTGGACAGAGGTCACTTTTATATATCAGGTCAGCCTCATCGAATTCAGTCACCCCACTACCATACCCTGTATAACAATGAGATGAGGAGGACAATGAAGACAACAATACGCGTTGGCTCGCTGATAACAGGTTGAGTCTCAGAAAGCCTGGCAAAGGTCTGCTTTTAAAGGGCCGACAGGCTCACAAAGCTATTCATTGCTATTGTTGGCGGGCAACAGAAGCAGCAAAAGGAAGGCTCCTGTAGAACTTGTTTGTGTG